GATAAGGACTATTGTTTCAGTTAACTTCTTGCAGGACTCTTGCCTGGACTTTCTGTTGGTGAATGCAGTTAACTCCTAATTTGTAAATAAAGAGGGTTTTTTCTTTGTGGGGAGTCTGTTTCTTGCTTCTATGAAGGCCGGGTCAGAACACTTGCATCAAAAGGGGTGGAATTTGTCTCATGGTATTGCAATGCATGTTTTATCACTTGACACTCACACCCCTTGCATCTTCTGTGGATGCCTCTAGGTTCACACTGCCAAACCAATGCCATTTATTTCTTTATTTTTAAAATTGATAAAATAAATATGCTTCCTTCCTTTCCCTTTGAATCACATTTGAAATTATTAAACCTATATAAAGTGACTTGAATTTGCTTCGACTGCAAGATTTGTACCCTGGATGTGCCATGATTCACTTGAAATCAAAAGATAAAATGATTTGCCCTGATAAAGCAATTCAAGGTAACTTAAACTGATTTTACTCCTCTCAACATCCCTCAGTGTTGGTTGAATTGTTCCATGACTGGGTAGCCTAGGAAGCTGTATGCTATAGGAGTTCCTGCAGGGCAGTGGTGGGTTTCAAAATTTTTTACTATGGGTTCTGTGGGCGTGGCTTGGTGGGTATGGCATGGCTTGGTGGGCATGGCTTGGTGGGTGTGGCAGGGGAAGGATACTGTAAAATCTCCATTCCCACCTACTTCGGGAGAAGGATACTGCAAAATACCTTCGCACCTTCCACCGGGAATTAAAAACTTGGCTTTTCAAATCCCTTGACCTGGTCTGATGATGGGGTTTTAAGGGTTTTAATGGGTTAATTTTAAATTTTTTAGATTTTAGTCTTTATTTTTATTGTGGCTTGTGTTTTATTGTTGTGAGCTGCCCTAAGTCCATTGTGAGATAGGGTGAATAAAATAAATAAAATAAAAATAAAATAAAATCCCCATTTCCTCCTGATCAGCTGGGACTTGGGAGGCAGAGAATAGATGGGGGCAGGGCCAGTCAGAAATTTTACTACCAGTTCTCCGAACTACTCAAAATTTCTGCTACCGGTTCTCCAGAACTGGTCAGAACCTGCTGAAACCCATCTGCAGGGTTCACTGAAACCCCCTGGTCTACCACACCTTCAGAATCTGCTGAAGTGGCTACAGGCTAACCACTTTCAGACAATGCTGACAGATAGCAGGTAGCATTTTCCATAGTCACTTAGCCAAGATCTTCTATGGCCAAAGAAGGCTCTTCTCTGCCTTCTCCTGCAGAACCTGATGAAGAAAACTCTCAGGTTTCTCCCACAGCACAGGATCTGCAGGAGAAGGCTGAAAAGGAGAGTGAGGTGACACATAATGGTTGCTTCACATTGTTTCCAAAAGTGATAGGTTCATGTTCCTTTGCAAAGCATATTCGAAAAGATTTTGCAACCTCCATTTAAGCAAATCACTCTTTGAAACTTCGCAAGTTTTAGGAACTACATCCTAAAGACTCAAGGCAGACTCAAGACTCAGGGTGTGTGCATGTTTGAAACAAGATGAGAAGGGAAAAAATACTTTATGTTACTTTGTTTGTGGGTTTTGTTTCTGAAGGGAGCCTATGTAGCACAGACATAGCAATTCTAGTAGAAATAATCTAAAGCATTTGAAGCTTAATGGTGGCCATCACTCTACCTCTGCTTCCAGTAACCTTCACAATGGAAACCAGTATCAACCCATTTTCACTCATGTTATTCTACATTGCAACAAAATCAGCTGGAATCCACTTCATTAAATTCATGAAATAATAAATTCCTCTGTCTTTCAGGGGGCGTCTTATTCTTTGTCATTTCAGTTTCGATTAACTTTCCAAGCTTGATGAGTTAATACTTTCAAAACAATCCTTTAATTGGGGAGCAAGATAAGCTGTATAAAAGGAAAGTGTGGCAAAAATGTGGGTAGATGAATGATTTCCCAGTTAAGCTAAAAGACATTGGGATTCTTTCCCACTTAACAGAATGCCATCACAATGCAAGGGACTATGGAGGAGGTAGGGAGAAGCATTCATTTAGAATATATTGAGATACTATTTTTTTTTAAGTAGAAAGTTATTAGATGCCTGCTGTTTGTCATAACATTGTACAGTTTGGCATTCTCAAAAGCAATTCCAGAAATAGCACTTATTTGCAAGCTGCATGACTATGATGCATGATGACCAATATCAGAAACTTATTAAAATGCTCTTGGCCAAATACAGTTATACAACCATATTAATTAAAGTATTCTTATCAATAGTAATGATAATAATAAATAATGCGCCTGTTCTCTCTCTTCCAGTTTTAATACTCCAGTGTTAAAACTGCTGGCCGAGGGCCAGGACAAATAAATATTAGCTGGCATGCCAGCAAGAATCTCAATTACTTTATGTGTTCTTTCAGAGGGAGATAATTAACATTTCAAATAAATTGCATGACTGTTGGAGGTAAGTTAGTTGCTTTGAAATGGTTCTGGTATGCCCATATAGATCAGCTGAGATTACAGCCCAAATTATTTATTTAAAATACACATTTCTCTACAGTATTCTACTAATTGTGTTGACTTTCTTGTAAAGTAACACATGTCCCTTCTTAAATACATTTTTAAAAAAAGCACTGAATTCAATACGAATTTAAAGTACATACATCCAGGTATTTTAGGATATAGTGAATATAATTGGAGCTAATCCTTTATGACTTCCTTAGTTGATATATATGAGTAACGTACACACCTACCTAATTTAAGCATTCTAGCTTTTATGATCTTCAGAATCACGAGGGAGAAAAGAAATTGGCATTGAGACTCCATGTTCCTTCTCATCACTCTTTCTTTGTTGAAACAAGTATCTGCTTCAACAGTAGACAACATCCTAATACTAGACCAACAATCAAGCAATAAAAAAATACCCCAATCAAGAAAAAACTAACTCAGACAAACAATCAAACAAACAGTAAACAACAGTTTAATCAAGGAACCACCAAGTAAACTCTTCCCAACTCTGACAAGGCAAGTGACTAGTATATAAAATGATGGCAAACCCCACTCTCTTCCAGCACTAATGAGGTTACCTAGTTGGGTAATGAAACATCTGCAAGAAAACCACCAAGCTCAGAGAGCATCAAGGACTCCACAGTTCAACCCTGAGCTACAAATATTCTCTTTTGTTGGAGCCTCCTCTGTCTATAGAGGCATTCCCCAAAATTGGAGGAGCCTCCTTTCCCAGGATTCCAATATTTCAAGGAGAGTCCCATGGGTAAGAATATGTTATGTCTTGCAAATAGTCACTTTCCATGGATGTAGAGATACATATATAGCAAAGGAATGTGTTTTGCATTGATTTTCATTTCTTGTCTTTCGATACCTAATTCCTACCCTGTAGGTAACAGCTACATAGAGTTAGAGGTATTTCTGGAAAGCAGAAATTCAGTTATAATTGATAAGCACAGAATCTCTAGGAGATGACCAGGCTGAACACAAGGGAGGGGTCAAGTGCATTATCAGTTTGGAGTCATGCCCACAGCTAGGACACAGAGATAATTCCTTTCAATGTGTATGTATCTTAGTTGCCTTGAATATCATGCCTACCGTATAGAGGAGAGACACCTATAAACCCACGTGTATTCTGCTTGCTTCTTTTCATTTACAATTCTTCCCCCACTATTTTAATTTGGCAGATGGAAAGAACACAAGGACACACATCTTCCACAGAAGATGAATCTAGGAAAGCCAAACCCCACTAGCCGCTAGAAAGGGTTAAGGTTTCCAAATCCAGTTGCATTTTGTGGTTTCTGTTGTACATATGGGACACTTCCAAACCATTCACTTAAATTCATAAAACTGTTCTTTATGAATAAAACACAATCTGGGCTGTTCAGAGTAACACAGTGATATTTTTTTTACCCAATGTGTTACTTAGGAGAAAGGCAAACTGGTGCCATTGGCTTTTTCACGTACATTTTAATTTTCTCATCAGAATTAAAAATAGTTGTGAAATTGCTGGGGCAATAGAAGAATGGTATTTCTTGTCTACAGGAAAACCCATGACTGCTTTTAACTTTAAGAACAGTCAAAAAAATCCCAAGGGTCCTTAATCTTCCTTAAATCTTGTTTCTACTATTTCTGCTCTGAACACTTGAAGTAACAGCTGCACTTGGAGAAATAAAAATTCTCTACTTGTGCCTTACAAAAATGTAGGGAGTAAACACATTCTTTTAATGAATGACAATTCTATAGCTATTGTTACTACTGTTTAGCTTTGTCCCTTGGGAAAAACCCACAGTTCAGGGATTGAGAGCACATGAGCTCTTATCAGAATGTCCCAGATCAACCACTGCTATTTCTTGTGTGTGACTAGGAAAGTCTCTGGCGATAGCAGTGAGAGCCATGAATGGTGCACTCCTTATTCCTTCAATGTTTAGAAGTAGCCCAGGTGATACATAACTGACGCTTTGGGAAAATTACAAAGAACATTAGTAAAACTGTCTTTTGCTTTATCCAGTCCTCCTTGGTTACATCTATCACAGTCACAAATTGACTTCTGTGGACCTCATACTTAAGAGATCCGTAGAGGGGGCATGCATAAGCGCACTAATGTGCCTATCGTCCCTGTCATTGTATTTTTATATTATTCCATTTTTATAGCTTGTATTTGCAACTTTACTTCAAACAATAATTTAAACTTATTTCAAATTTTTGTCAACCTATTTAATAATAGCAATAACAAAAAGCTTACGCTAATGGTCAGTTTTTGCTTGTTTATGTACTTATTTAACCACTTTATCCGACAGTAGCGAGACAGTCCCTGTCTTTTATGATCAAGAATATATGATTTGCAAAGTCGGGTGGCAAAAAGAAAGGGGAAAGTGACCTCAGGGACTAAATCTTGAAGTTACATATTTTTTTTTTAATCAAATGGGATCAATGTAGATGAGATGATCTGATAAAAGGCCACCTTCTTTGATGAAAGACCAGGATAGAAAATATAGATATCTTAGCAAGGCAAATTGTCAGAGGTCATTCTCCTATATAAAAAAGTATAGGCGCAGGGGCCATGCTAATCTTCTCTGTATCGTTCCAATTTTAGTATATGTGCTGCCGAAGCGAGCTAAAACTAAAACTAAAATGAACCAACCAATAACCTACAGTAATAAAACCTTGAGTTAAACTTTGTAGAGAATAGTGAATCAATGAATTGGTTTTCCAATCCCTCCTTGATGCCCTATATGACACTGGATGTCAAATTTAATGTGTTAGGATATGGTGCTTGCCTAACAGGTTGGCCAGGCAATATACAAGCCAATATGATGAATATGTATTCTATGACTTTAAGAGTCATTGTAATGCTGAGTCATTGTATCCTGATTGGATAAACTCTGTAGTAACTGTATTTAAGGAGAGCTTGAATGTAGTCAGTGTGGACATGCCACCATCGTGACCTGTTACCATCGTGACCTGTTACCAGTATGACCTGCTACTATTTATTATCTGCTGATGTTTTGTAATTTCTACTTGATCTGTTACATGGTCTAATGTGATCATGGTTTATTTATTCTGTTTTTAAGAACTATTTATATTGTTCCTGTTTGATCCTTTTACTGCAAACCGGTAAGAAGAACTTTTGTATCTCTGGACTGATTATGATTGGCTAAGACTTGGATTGATTAAAGACTATGAGATTGTTTTTCACTATAAAGTAAAATACTTTGATAAACCAAAAAAAAAAAAAAAAAAGTATAGGCAGCAATAAAGTTCTTTCGAAAAGCTTATTATTTAAGGTTATACTTCCCATCAAAGTAGAGATACCTAACTGGTAAAAACATGATTACGATTTATTGAGCAACCACTACTTTCTTCAAATGCTAAAAACCTATTAGAGACCCTTCAGTGGTGTAATTACACTACTGCTATGTATATAGCTCTATGTATATAGAGCCTTGGTGGCCTAGCAGACTAAAGTGCTGTTAAGTAGCACCAGCTGCCTGCAATTACTGCAAGTTCAACTCTCACCAGGCTCAAGGTTGACTCAGCCTTCCATCCTTTCAAGGTAGGTAAAATGAGGACCCGGTTTGTGGGGGCAATAAGCTGACTTTGTATAAAAAAGAACACCGCTTGGGGAGGGGGGGGCGAAAGCCCTACTAAGCAGGTATATACAAAAGTATGAAGGCTATTGCTTAATGTATTGTAAGCCGCCCTGAATCTTCGGAGAAGGGCGGCATATAAATTGAACCGATAAAATAAATAAAACAATAAATAAATATAAATGTATAAAAATAAAAGAATTGTGCCCAGTCACATCAATCTGGTGGCAAAACAGATGGGAAGGGACAACTTATCATAGCCAACTTGCTGCAGCCAACTCTCCACAGTCAACTCTCCACAGGACAGCTTGCTGTGGGACAATTTAACAATTCTAATTATTTAAAATAAATTAAAAAATATTTTAATTTTTGCCATTTACATTTCATTCTGTCCCTCCTTTTGCATCCTTTCTTTAATGATTCTATTCCACTATTTATTTGATATTAGTGTAACTCTTGTCCTGCAGCGAGTTGTCCTATGATGAGTTGGCTGTAATGAATTGTCCCGCAGCAAGTTGGCCACAGCAAGTTGACCATGGCGAGTTGGCCATGATGAGTTGGCTGCAGTGAACGGTCATAGACCCGAACAGATTTATTTATTTATTTATTTATTTATTTATTTATTTATTCATTCATTTATTTATTTGAATTTTTATACCGCCCTTCTCCCGAAGGACTTAGGGCGGTGTACAGCCAGAACACACAACACACAAATAGAAAATTTAAAAGCAATTTAAAATATATATTAAACAATATGGCCCATAACTAATTAAAAAACCCATTCTTAAAAAATGACGATTCAAAGTTGAGGAGATAGAATCATGCCAGCCTGGCTTGTTGGAACAAAAGAGTCTTGAGGGCACAGCGGAAGGTGCGTAGGTCCGGGATCCTCTGAATCTCCAGGGGCAATTCATTCCAGAGGGCAGATGCCTCCACAGAGAAGGCTTTCCCCCTGGGGGTCTCCAGTCGACATTGCCTGACCGACGGCACCCGGAGGAGACCCTCTCTGTGGAAGCGTACTGGCCAGTGGGAGGTTATTGGTAGCAGAAGGCGGTCTCGTAGGTATCCAGGTCCTAAGCCATGGAGCGCTTTAAAGATGTTAACCAACACCTTGAATCACATCCGGAAGACCACCAGAAGCCAGTGCAGCTCACGCAGGATAGGTGTTACATGGGAGCGCCACGTAACCCCCACCAAGCACATTAGATGCTGGTAATGTAAAGGAATGTCACACTATATGGAGGCTAATATAAAGGACTGTCACACTGTATGCCTCCTTCTCAAGGAAACTGATGAAACTCACTTTTTTTATATCTGCATCTATAGTCTTTAAGAGTCTTCTTCTTTGTTGGAAGAAAGTCTTTTTGTAACTTCCTATTTTTGAAGTAAGTCTGCATAGACACCATCCAGTTGGAACAAGCATGCAAGAGAGATCATTTAACTAAAGAATAGTTAAGAACTACACACCTCAGAGTGAACCTGAACCTAAAACTACTTGTAAATGCAATGCCTTCAAGCAAGGAGTTGGCTATATAAATTGGATAATAAGTAAATAAATATAATTTTAGTGAGAAACCACATAGTGAAAACACAGGAAGGAAATATCAATGAAAGAGAAAATAGCAGTCATTAGAGAAATAGCATTCAGTGGAGAGATACCCTTTAAAATGATGAACAGAGCTGAGAGAATAGCAGTGAAAACAAAACAAACATTTCCAAAGCATAAAAGTAATGAATGGGAAATAACCATCATCAGGGAAATAACTGAATGCTAAGAAGAGTTTTGAGCAATAGGTGGGAGAAGCAAAAACATCATCAATAACAACAACTATCACTGAGGGCTAGCAATGAGACTGGATATACAAGAAGAGAAGAGGAGAGCAGGATTTTGTTCATGGGCTTTGGGCAACCACAATTCCCAGAATCCTTCAGCATTGGCCATGATTTGTGGGACTGCCAATTGTTATAATTTTGGTTCTTCACCTCTGCTGCAGGTATACCATTCCCAATGATCACTTCATATCAGTGGAACTTTCTTGTCTGAATGTGTGATCAAACACTGAATGTGAGCACTCCCAAGAAGTGGATATTTTCAATTTTCAGAAGCATTGTTTCTTGTTAAAAAGCCCTGGTGGTACAGTGGTTAGAATGCAGTATTGCAGGCTAACTCTGCCCACAGCCTGGAGTTCAATCCTGACAGGGCTCAAGGTTGACTCAGCCTTCCATCCTTCCTAGGTTAGTAAGAGGACCCAAATTGTTGGGAGTAATATGCTGACATCAGTGGTGGGATTCAAATTTTTTTACTACTGGTTCTGTGGGCATGGCTTGGTAGGCATAGCATGGCATGGTGGGCGTGGCAGGGAAAGGGTATTATAAAATCTCCATTCCCTCTCCACTGAAGGGGAAGGTTACTGCAAAATCCCCATTTCCTCCCAATCAGCTGGGACTTGGGAGGCAGAAAATAGATGGGGGCGGGGCCAGTCAGAGGTGGTATTTACCGGTTCTCCGAACTACTCAAAATTTCCGCTACCGGTTCTCCAGAACTGGTCAGAACCTGATGAATACAACCTCTGGCTGACATTGTAAACTGCTCAGAGTAAACTACTATGGAGTGGTATATAAATCTAAATCAGGAGTGAAATGCTACCGGTTCGGATCGGTTCAGTCAAACCTGTAGTGATGGTGGCGGGTGGTTCGGAGAACCGGTAGTGACGGCGGCACAAGGCTCTGCCCACCCATCTGGTTGTCATTTCCTAACCTTTTTTTACCCTCTGTGCATGCGCAGAAGGGTTTGCACATGCGCAGAGGGTCTGCATGCACACATGATGCATGCGTGGGGCGCGTGCACTTCCAAACCAGTAGGGAAGGTAAGTAGATTTCACCCCTGGTCTAAATGCTACTGCCACTGCTATTAAATATTAGCTAATATTATTTTGAGAACATTGTGAGTGTCATGATCGACCATTGTTAATATTTGGATGAAGAACATAGGAACTCTCAAGGCTAGGAAAACTCAGACCTGTAGGCTGGACTGGAAAATAAAAATGATTGTTGATGAAGGCAATGGCCAATGACTTCCATATTGTTCCCTAGAGTGCACCATGGAGTCACCAGGAATCATGTTCAACTCAGTGGAGACTATTCTTTTACGTTAAAGAATAAAGGATCCCAGGAAGCTACTGGTGGCCCTGGTGGCCCTGACAATACACGCCTGTTGTAAAATAATGAAGTCCTTTTTAAATAGTTCATAGGGTTTTTTCTCTCTATAGCTCCAAATCCTGTGCAATGTTCTAAAAAGAATGGTGACTTTAGCAGATTCTAGTATATTGGATTATAGTTAATTAAATTTTGTCATGCCATTTGATTTAAGTGAGAAGTTAATTAACAATAAATTATTCTAGGCATAATAGAACTTCCCCCTATCCTTCCAAACCACAATTTTTACCCATTTAAGATCATTTTGATCTGAGGTATTCTTCAGATTACCTGCAGGCCCAAATTTTGAACACTAAAATTCAATGACTGGTTTTGGACTCCTAAAGAAGGCGAGGACAGCCTTTTATAATATTGGAAGACCGTTAGACTCCTAGTCCTTCTCTTTATTAGATTAGCTATACCTAGTTCCTGCAATGGTGTTGTCTCACATGAGTGATCTTGATTGAGTTTCCCATATTTGGATACTGAAAGCAGAAATCATTTGTTGAAATAACAGATGTGACATTTACTTCATAACTCTTCCATATCTGGAGCCATTCATCAACAGCAGTTCAGAAGATGTAAACAGAAACCATTTCCAAAGAGCAGCCACTAATATTAATCTGCTCAATGACAGTTATGTCCTAGAAGGCGATATTCCATATTATCCACCTCAGTTTTTAAAGTGTAAAACACTATTTAGAAGAAGGAAAAAATAAACCTCAACGGGACTATTGTTCCTCTATTTTAATGAGGCTTAGCTAACAAAAGACCCAGAAAATTTGGAAGATGAACTTCAGTGAACTTCCAGTTTTGGTTTTATAGGCTTAATA